AGGAAGCCCCAGGCAGAGTTGCTCTGCCCCGGGCTTCCTGGAATCAGCTGCTGATCAGTTTCAGCAGCAGCTGACTTGGGGACGCCTGGAGTTCTTAAGTTGATTCTGTATGTAAGTCAGAACTGGCGGTCAGTTTCAGCAGGGTCTGAATCTGGAACCAGTTTCGACTTACATACAGATTCAACTTAAGAACAAACCTACAGTCCCTATCTTGTACGTAACCCGGGGACTGCCTGTACTTGAGGTGCAGGTCAATTGGGCCATATTAACACTTATAGACTGCCACATTAATTCCCACCGATTACCTGTCCATGGGAAGGGAGAACCATCCAACTCAGAATCGGGTGTTGAAGCCATTGGCTTATTTACCTAAAGTCTTCTGTCCCCACACAGCTCTGAATGGTAGGGTTTTTTTGTGACTGCTTGTGTGGCAAAACAGGTACGCATATTCCTCAGCACCATGTTGGCCACAACTAATTCTTTCTGGGTATGGCCCTTACTGCTGACTGGCCTGCTGTCTTTTGGGTCTAAGCCAAACTCTTCATGACCTATCGATATTATTTAACACATGGCTGCATGTTATTTAGAAGAGAGAAGGACCCCTATTAACCTATTTATCTTTAGAATATCTATACAGGGCATAGCAACATGTGAGCACTTCTTCCGAAGCAATTTGAAAGTTACATGTGGTTCAAAAGGTCTATCTGATGAACACATCTAAACAATGCTTAACACACATCCGTAGACTTACTCGGGTGAAGGTCCCCACAAAATTATGTATGTCAATATTGGGCTCTTCTGCATATACATAGGATCGGATCTGAAGAAGGTCCTACAGAATAGACATGTAATGGCAAAGTTAAACATTATTAACTCACAATATACACAGCCTTTAAGTCTCTAAATTCCTTTAAACAAATAAAAAAAAGCCATTCAATGTCCTCATACAGCAAATCTGAGCCAATGAAGACAGAGCTGCACCATTACAACAGATTTACTAGAATGGTGTGGCTACAGTAGGAGTTTCTCAAATGGTTCTGTAGAGCAATAGCTGGGAATTACTTGGCAGTTAGAGCATTATAAGGGAACTTTCAGGCTGAGAAACAAAGTGGATTTGTGATGCATCTACTAGGCTGTGGAATATCCACCAAGGGGGAGGCAGTGAATGCACCTCAGAGCTTTGGACATTTAAATTAGGTCTACATTGCAGATAGATGGATACACTCTAGGCAGATCTGTCCCATCTAAAGGACAGCTTGGGGTGGCCACACCCGGCCCTGCACTTTGGAGGCCTCTGCGACAGCTGCCTCAACAATCCTATGATGGGGCTGCAAGGTGGTCCGGGAGATTACCTGGAGGGAGGTGCTTGGCATGGGATGGCAGTGGGGGTTGCCCACCCTCACCCGCGCTGTGGTGGCAGGAGCCAGAGTGATCCGGCAGCCTTTCCCAGCCCACTGAACTTTTCTTCAGCATGGTAGCAGGAAGCAGAGAGCCATGGCCCCAGAGGGAGGGTGCAGAGTAGAGCGGAGCAGGCTGTCAGGTTCTTCTGGCTCCCACCAATACAGTGAGTGGGGGGCGGGGGAGAAAAGGGGAGGAGAGAGACACCAACCCCTGCTGCCACACCATGGTAATCTCCCGGCTTGTGTTGCTCAGGAAAGGGGACTATAGGCAAGGGAGCAGAGCAGAGATGGGAAGGGATGGTGGTAGATCAGAGATGTGTGATGGTGGGGCCTCCAGTGGGGGAAGGAGGGAGAATTGTTCTGGGGCCTGTGTCTGGTGGCATGCCCCATGGCCACCTAGGGATGGCCCTGGCTCTAACTTGGCTCAAGCCAGCATGCTAAAAATAGCAGCCTGAACATGGCAACATGGGCAGCAGGTGGGGCTAAACACCTGAATGGAAGGAGTTGGGCAGGTTTGCACTCAAATGGCTAGCCTGAGCCACCATCCATGCCAACAATGTCACACTGCAATGATTAGGGTTTTATCTGGAGTGGAGTTAGTGTATGTTTATCTACCAGTGCTGGGAAGCACGTTCCCATCTGCTGAGTTCAAGACACTAACATGTATAATAGGGAACAGTTCCACAGTGGCAGGGAGACAGAGTCATTTTGCAAGTCATTTTGACTGCTATAGGGTCTTAGATCGTTGCTGAAGAATTTTCCTGATTCTAGTGGTTTTGAAAAAAAGATTTTATTACAGCTGGCACACTAGCAAAACAGAGGCATGCTCAGTTTTGTTTCTTCTCTCTCTGAAACATACAAACACACACACACACACACACACACACACACACACACACTTACTTTCAGCTACAGGATTTTGGAAGACGCATAGCATTCAATGGTTAAAGATTTAGTTCAGATGACAAAGAGGAATAACCATGAGCTAAACACTCTTTGTATGAAATTAAGCAATGGCTTATGTGGCAGGAAAAGTTCCACTATAAGGTCATATGATTTGTACTCTTGAACAGTATAGCTCAATGAACAGAAAGGGGAGTATCTGAGAAAGCAGGAAGTTCACTGTCATCAAGGAAATGGACCTTTCTGCAAGAAATTACTGATAGTTGACTTTCACATGCTCCTTTTGACTGGATCTTACTTCAAGACAGTTCTTTGGATGCTAGCTCAGTAATTCTATTTAAGTTTTCCATAGGGATTCATCACTATAGTATTTAAACACTATCAACCTGTCTCTTGAAGTCCCCAGCTGAATTCATGAAGTCTCTTGCTATTCTTTCTTCCCTGGCAAAAGTAGTCCTAATTGTCACTCCTTTTCAACTGCTCAAAAGGTGTGTAAGGCATCTTGAGAGCAATACTTCATGGTGCACAAATGGTGACTGCATACTTTATGAGGAGTATTTTAACCACAGACGAGTGGGTTATATTAGAGTACATTTCAAATAAGGAGTTATGTGAATGCTATCCGTATCCAGTTCTATCTCTTCCAATACTACTTTATGATTTCTGCAAAATACAATCAATATACCGCTATTTATGCTTTAATTTGTCTGTTTCCTCCATTTTTCAAAATCTGAGAGCCCTAATCAGCTGTGAAGTGAAAACTGGAATAATAAAAAAAATTCCTCCTTCCCCACACTGAAAACCAAAACCAAAAAAAGCAAAAAATCCAACCAAAAACAAAAAAAACACCTCAAAACATCACAACCAAAACAATTACGCAACCTTGAGCTTGTGGGTTTTGTGTGCCTCATGATGAAATTATTGGCACAAAATAATTTGCAAATAATTTTCAAAGCTTCAATTCTGATTCCAAAATGGCAATTATTTTGCATTCTGTGAAAGTCAGAGAGAGTGTACACTTTTCCCCTTTTGACAAATAACATACACTTTCAGTCATTCTGGACGTACAGAGAAACAACTATTTAAAACAAAAATCTTTTACTAGGAAACTACTTACAGATGCGGTGGGTAATCTCTGAGTGCAGGTAACTGGCAGACGCAGCTTCCAGTCTGTCTCACCATCTAGCTGATCAGTCCGGAGGAAGCAAGATCCTGGCAATATTCAACATTGTTAATGGTCTTTCTAGTTCTATTGTAGGTATACAGGCCATTCATGGAATTAGTTTCTGAGATAAGACACATTTCTTCCTATGAAAACAACACCTGATTAAGAGTAATCTTTCAGAGGAATTTAGACGAAAAGTTTCTTGAGACTTCAGCTATTTAAATAAGGCAAAACTAAGGAAACAAACCAAACTTGCATTATGTTATATGAATAACAAATTAAAGTAAAAAAATATATTTCTAATTTATAGGCTCAAGTAAACAGGACAGTCAGAGACATTTGGATACAGTGCTGGATGACCGGTAAGGCATCTTATTTTTGTAAAGGCTGTTTTGAGTTACAAATGCTATGAGTTTGGCACAGGGATGTAAAAAACTTACCTGGTTACCTGGCAAGTATTAGCCTAACCAGCATACTTAACTAGAGGGCTGGGCCAGTAGGAGCAGCCCCCGGTCGCCCACAGTGGGGTCAGCCAGAGCTGGAGCAGCCCCCCACCTACCATGGGCTTGTCGGCAGGATCCTGGCTGCAGGGAACCCGCTGCCCTGGCTGGAACCCCAGCTGCTCTGCACCAGACTTAAGTTATTCAGTTAAATTATTAAAATTACATTGTTTAACCGGTTAACATTTTTAATGAGTATTTACGTCCCTAGTCTGGCATCAATTTCAATGGACACAAAAAGAAAGGAGCATGATTGTTTTAAAAGAACAGTGCTCCTGGCAACTGTTCATTTGTTAAACCATATTAAAGACACATAATGGGGGTTCCTAAGACATGGCAGTCATGTTATTTTGGAGGAGTTAAGCACTCCTTGCCTTTTGTATTACAGAATACAGTCAATGAATGTACTTTATCTATAGGAAATATTCATCCTATTTTCTAAGCCCTCTGATTAAACATCCTGCTTCCCAGCAGGACACAGCTGAATGGTGTTTTATATATATATATATA